TGGAACGCTGCGCAGTTCTGTCTAATTGTGATTTTCCTGATAAGTTTTGATTGGCCATTGATGTTTTCAAAATGAGGATTCAGGTCTCTGTTCACATTTAAGCATTTACATTAAAGAGAAAACTGAAGTCTAAACTGTTAAACTCACTCAACAGTCTCATGTTTGTGGAGGTGTGGATTACGGGGTTTTGTTCCATAAATTCCAATGAAGTGTCTCAGTAGTATTTCAAACTCCATTTCTCTACAAAGGAACAGGTTTGAACTCAATACTAATTTCAATATCACAATGTTTATTGAAAAAATTATACAGAAAATACTTAAAGGCATGTACCAAATTTTTCCCATGTATATTAACTAAATGTGTCTCCCAGTACAGATGTATGGTATAAGCAGCTCTTGAGGTCAAAATAAGTTTGCCTTGTGCTGTCTGCATCTTATTATTAGGTGTTTTATTGTCTGATAATCAGGAAGGGCAGTAATCAGTTAGCATGCTAGTTAGCTCTAGGTAGAATTAGTGCCTGTTGATCAAGTTGTTGCAGTGGACAGAAAAATAAATAAATACAAATTCAGGGTTTATGAATGTCTGCGGCTCAGATGCAGAAGGTAAGTGAGGAAAAAGTTTGCACTAGCTGTTTAAAATGAATTATAATTCATTTTAAACAGCTGGTGCTGTTTAAAATTTTAAATTAATAACTGCACCAATAAGTCACCCTTATTGGTGCAAATATCTGAACACAAGATGCCCTTGTGCCCAACTCACACACTGGACTGGCCCTGGGAGCAGAGCACAGCAGGTCCCTGTGTGTCCAGTGTGAGTGACATCATGATTACAGGAGGGACATGTAGTACACAAAGTGAAAGTAAACCAGAATAACCAGAATTTGTTCTATAACAGTATCTGCAGTGAGAGCTGAGCCTCGGACTGTAAAGTGAGCTGTGTGCCTCTCTGTGGTTTGGTTTACACAGGTCCTAAGGGCTGGGCATGGTGACTCAAATAAATCTCTATTTATTTGGAGTGTCCTGAACAATATTTAGATGCTTTTGTCAGATCAGTTGAGGCATCAGACTAATGTGAAATAACTGTATAATTAGCCACAAACAAGCAGCAATATTATAATAATATAGAGCCTTATTTGGAAGTTTACAACAAAGCTGGTATATTTATGTATGTATATGTTATATATATATATATATATATACACACACACATACACACACACACACACATATATATATATATATATATATATATATATATATAGCATATCTATAAAACATCTATCTATCCATTTCTTTGTCTTTATCTGAGGCCGGAGTCCCAAGGTGTTCAAAACCAAATCAAGAGAGAGACATAGTCCCTCCATGTCCTGGATCTTCCCCGGAGTCTCCTCCCGGTGGGACATGAACACCTCCCCAGGGAGGTGTCCAGGAGGCATCTGGCATAGATGTTCTTCCCTCAGCTGCTTCTCTCCACATGGGGGAGCAGCACCTCTACTCTGAGCTCCTCACCCCATTTCTAAGGCAGTGCCCAACCACCCTGCAGAGGAAGTGAGGAATAACCTCTGCAAACTGTTTAAAATGAAAAAGTTCTGTCTTTCAAGTTTTTAAGTCAGTAAAAACCAGCCCCGTTAAAAGATGCACTATGTAACTGTTAAAACACTTCTGCCAGTAAGAATGGAGCAGTTTAAATAAGTTCAATCATACGAGACAAAGGCCAAATCACACACTGTTACCTAACTCGATTCAGCAGCACGCTAAACTACTAAGGGAAGTAGGCCATGGCTCAGAATCAGTGCAGCCAACGTGAACAAATGACTGTTCAAGACAAATCAGGGTCTACACAGAGTCACTTCAGAAATAACGGTATGCTAAAAGTAATCCCAATTTAACAAGTCTTTTTGTCCAAAAGTATTGAGCTCCACATGACACGGGAGGACAGAGCCAAAAGGAGACCCAGGCGTGTGTGGAGGATCAGGTAAAGCACACGAAACACCACTGACCCCATTGTTGTAGCGCCTGGAAACAGGAGCACACCAGGTCTACAACTAAAGCCCCACACACACTACAGCCCCACACACACTACAGCCCCTCACACACTACAGCCCCACACACAGTACAGCCCCACACACAGTACAGCCCCACACACAGTACAGCCCCTCACACACTACAGTCCCTCACACACTACAACCCCACACACACTACAGTCCCACACACACTACAACCCCACACACACTACAACCCCACACACACTACAACCCCACACACACTACAGCCCCACACACACTACAGCGCCACACACACTACAGCCCCACACACCTCTACAACCCCACACACACTACAACCCCACACACACTACATCCCCACACACAGTACAGCTCCTCACACACTACAACCCCACACACACTACAACCCCACACACACTACAGCCCCACACACACTACAGTGCCACACACACTACAGCCCCTCACACACTACAACCCCACACACACAGTACAGCCCCTCACACACACTGGTCCTATTAAGATAATGATAATACACAGGCTTATATCAACTTATGGTTCAATAACAGATGGTTAATATTAATCGTGGGTACTTTTTCTTTGTACTAGTGGAGAACCTTTAGTAATTTGTACTTATTTGTACTGCGATGCAGAGGGTTGAATAAATAATGTATGACTCATTACAAACACAAATGAACTACTCAAGTTGAAGTTGAACTACTAGTTCATTCTGTTATCTATTTACTTGTAGTTTTTGTTTTTGTTTTATTACAATATTTCACATTTTAGAATCATTTTGGGGAGTTTAGGGTTTATAAATCAGATACTAATCAATACTAAAAACTAGTATCAAAACTAGAGCTGTGCAAAAATATCGAAATATCGATATATCTTATTGTTTAATGTGATGATACAGTATCGATATCGTGGGCTGCTGTATCGATATATTGCCTCAGAGTATTTTTTGGTATATTTTACTAAATTATTTTGTTACGGCGCTACAGTTTTGATGTTTGTTTAGTGGAAGGAAACACATTTGACATTTGAAATTGAATTTATATTTGAATTTATTAAAAGAAAGCTAAATTTTCACTGTTTTCATAATTAAAATGTTCGTGTTTCATATAAGCTTTACACAAGAAACGGTTTAACAAAGACTTTTAGTATCACAGCCATGATTTAGCCTTTATTTTGTATTGAACTGTATCGTATCAAATAGAAAGTGCACTGTATTGAGATATGTATCGTATCGTGGCCTGTGTATCGAGATATGTATCATATCGGCAACTTCTATATATATTCGATACCCAGCTCTAATCAAAACCAGATACTCGTTTGTGCAGGTATTGATACTAAAAAAGTCCCGTTGGCAGGACAGAAATGAACTTTTCCTCAATGTCTTCAGATGATGTTGAGTTGTATCAGAACAAGTGTCAGAGCACATAGACACATGGACCAACATGAACCTACTGCACCACTGATCCAGGTAGGTTCCATAGTGGTCCACACTGTAGTCCACACTTCAGAGTCCAGTCTTCACAAGGTTGACTAAGAAGAGCCCCGACTGATCCACACACACAGGGACACACACAAGCCCACGGCAGCAGCCCAATCTGGGGTAAAACTGGCCTCTAGCATCCAGGCTCCGATACGTCATCTCAGATCTCACAGAAAACATGAACCTGCCCAAGCTGCTCAAACTAAAATACTAAAGATACTAAAAGTAATGACCAAATCTAGATTCATTTGAACAAGTATTGATACAGAATAATCATAACCAAAGAGCACAATAGCATTAGAGTGGAATTGCTCCATTTCAGTACTAAAACTAGAGACTAAAAAGGCATTATTTTTGTTGCATTCAGCTGTCATGTATTAAAAGTACAATATTTTGCTTTAACCTACATGATTCCATGGAAACAAAAAACACACAATGGAACATCCTCCACTGACAGATACTTTGTTTATGCCATACTGTGGAAGACAGCCAAAGGAACAATATTTCCAATATTTCCAAGGCCAAATAAGAGTCGGGTTTGTGGAGAAGCCTGCTCAAGGTAAGGACACACATTTTTCAGTGCAATAAAAATTTAAAATCTATATATTATGTCAATTTTTGGATGTTACTGTGGTTTTAAATTTCACAAACAAGCAACAAAGAGGAAGCACAAAGCTTAGACAAATACAATTATCCCATTGTTGCGTTATCATTATTAGTATAATTCTTCAAAACACAACCGGGCTTAACTGACACACATATAACACTTAACACAAACACAACCACATATTTACATGTCTGAAGTGAAATCAGGATGAGTTGAAAATGTGCACTGCCAAGTAAACCTTTACTCCTGTATGACCACACAGAACATTCAACACAATTTCATATTAAGTCTTACTGTTCATGATAATAATATTCACTTTTTGCCCTTTCTGCCTGTAAGCACAAGTGCTACTTCCACATGTATGACACATATCTATGGAGACAACAGTGTGTTTCGTTTGTGCTCATATTCTCATCCTGTGCTCAGTCCTGTGCACCCGCAGGAGGAGCCAGAGCCGGGGTCAGGTGCACAGCTGTAGATCACCACAAATACCAAACTTCAACACGTCTGTGACATCCCACATTCTGCTCCACAGGGTCACATTTACATCACAAGAACAGCTGCATAATAATAATGATCTTTTAATCATCTTCTCTGTTTGTTATCTACTCTGTGGGCGCTACTTCCCTGATCTGGACAGGTTGAAGTTTGCGCAGCTCTCTGCCTCGGGGCTCCGGTAGAACAGGTGAAGTGGAGGTTCTAACAGCTCAGACACTCCAGCCCGTGGGTTCTGCACGGACCATAGCCCCGCTGTTAGGCACAGGTCATAAGCGGGTCAGAACCGGGAGTGAACAGAACAGAGCAGCGTTACATAAGCGCACCTTCACTCGGCACAAAGCAGTCCAGTCCACTCGGAGACATGACAGCTCAGAGCCATGTTAGTTAGAGCCACTTACCCCGATGTTGTCGCCTTTGCTGGGGTAAGAGGCCAGCCTTCCGCCTCCTTTCACGGGCATTCTGTTCTGTCCTCACGGCTCTGGACCAACGCGTCGCGGCTAAGCGCAAAGGGCGAACACGGCCTGTGCCTGGATCCTCTGAGCGCAGCGCAGGACTCGTCTGTGCGCCTCAGACCGGCTGCTGCTCGGTCACACGGAAGAGGGAGGTCCGCTCTCTACACGACACCCACAAACACAGGCGCATTTCCTGCTCCACACGCTGGAGCGAGGAGGCACCGCCCGACGGGCGGGCACAGCGCAGCTCCGGGACAGCGCTGTTGACAGAAGGATGATCGGAGCATGAGTCAGCGGTGTGCCCGTGCGCAGCACACGCTTCCGCAGCGCGCACGGTGCTCGGGCACTGGTCAGTGCGGTGGTCAGTGCGGTAGCATGTGCCGTAGCCTGTGAGGTTTAGGGGATTTGCTGAACAGCCCCGTAAATGAAAACTCCAGTGACCACTAGAGGGCGGAGGGCGCACTTACAGCTGTACTCTGATCTCACGACCCCATAACCCCCGACACCACAGGGCGGCGCAACATGTCCACTACTGGACATTTAAGTCGGCCCCAGGGCAGCTGTGGCCACAGTAGTAGTTTACCATCACTGAGTGTTGAGTGAATGAATAATGTAAAGAACTTTGGACATGTTGAAAGGCGCTGTATAAATGCAATGATTCATTAAAATTTTATTAATTTCAAATTAATTGTTGCCTATTTTCCACTAAAGGATCTTGTTATTGCTGAGGCCATTATCAGGCCCGGACGCACAGACTGGTTTGGAGAGAACAGGGTGCCATTAAAGCTGCACTATGTAACCTAACCTGACACCTAATACTGAGTACGACACCTGCCTGGAATGTTCGGCCTGTAGGGAAATACAAACATCTGCAACTGTATAAACACAAAGAAAGTTTGATGTTGATGTCATGGTGGAACATTCAAAGCAAAAACATAGAGACAGGTGTTGTCCTCTACTAGAAAAGTTACATAGTGCACCTTTAATTTTGTACAGAAACCTTTTTTTTTTTTTTTTTTTTTTTTTTTTCCTGATCTGTGATGCAAGTGAGATTTGTGCAGCAGCGTTTGTAATGACGGTGCAAGAGGCCAGTGTTCTGCTCTGCTTTGTCTCCTCCTGCTGGCTAGTCACGTTTTCACTCCTAACAGCACCAAGAACAAGCCCTGCCACCCCCATTCCCCTCTACTCACGCACGAACATCTGTAAACTGTGGAACATTTCAATATGGAGCCTATTCAATAGAGAATTACATTAACCATTACATTATGATAACAGTTATTCATCATTTGCATTAGTCAGTCACTTACTAAGTATAAATAGTATTTTTGGAGATACTGTCAGTAGCGGGGGGTTTACTGACAGAACTGTGTCATATTCTGACACACTGTTTTGGTATGACGTTCATGTCCAATTTGTAAAAATAAAAAGCTGTCACATTTATACAGAGCTTTTCTATCTCAAAGGCACTCAGAGAACTTTACATCAAGGAACCCCTCACCCATTCACACATCAGTGTATGCAGGTCAGTTGGGTTAAGTGTCTTGCCCAAAGACACAATGGCAGCATTCATCTGTGGGAGCTGGAACTCTACCAACTGAGCTACTGCCGTCCTTCCATGAACTCGTCCTCCCTCCACAATCCCAAAGATTTAAAACAAGAACTCGTACATCAGGTGTTCCATCAGGCACCTCGTGTCCCGAGATCTGAACAAACAATGTCCCAGTTTTCCCACATCCACGTTTCACCATTAATAACACTCATTAAAGCTCCTATATCACACAAAACGGACTTGAGCAGTGTTGGGGAGTAACAGATTACATGGACCAGCGTTACATAATCAGAGTACAAATTATGAGTAACTGTATTCATTTAGGGTTACTGTTTTAGTGAGTGGTAATTAGATTACAGTTACTTTGTTGAAATAAATGGATTACTCTACAGTATTTTCCTGTTTTCACATTTTGGGCTATATCCCTTTTTTTGTTTTTTGTTTTTTTCAGTAATTCCACTCATTGCTGGACACCCAAACAGAACGTGTGCAATAAGAGCAACGTAAACATCTTGTTAATGTTGGTGGTGTCAGTCACACAGTGGACGAGGTTGTTAATAATCTGATTCTGCATCATTTTGTGTAAAAAACATCAAATACTTGTGATTTTTTACTGGGCTGGTGCCTTTATGTTTGTACTGAAAGTGATGTATTTATTTATTTTTTTAATAAACAATATGACACTAACAGTAGGTGGACAGAATTGAAGGCAGCAGTGATCTCATATATAAAGCATTTCTATCAATAATATTTTTAATATGATTCAGGAAAGACTGGACTTGTGAAGACATCCTGGTCTTTGCTACTTTACAGCAAACAGTTGTCTGTTCATGGAGACTTGGGCTCAACAGACAATTTGAAGAGAACAAACAAGAATTTTCAGGATGTGGTTGGTACATTCATGCAGTTTTAAAAAGCATGACAATATCAAGTAATCCAAAGTATTCAGATTACGTTACTCACTTTAAGTAATTTAATGGATTCCGTTCCAAACTACATTTTGGCATATGTAATCTGTAATCTGTAGGGGAATACATTTTAAAAGTAACCTTTTCAACACTGGCTTTGAGCTATGTTAGAATGATGTTACCTCCTCAAAATCAGAGCTGGAGTTGTGTTTCATGTTTGAGTAACCCTTAAAATGCTCTGTTCTATTAAAAAAAAAAAAAAAAAAGAGCTCTGTAAAATGTCTCTGTGACATATGTCTGTGAAAAAGTGCTATATAAATAAAGACTTACTTCATTATTAGTCTGTCTACAACTCAAAAGCTCAAAATGCTCTGTTCCACCTTGTGATGTCAGGCAGTGGTAGTTTTCATGTTAACAGCTTCAGTTTTAACTTTTGCTTAGTAGAAATAGGCAGTTCCAGGGATGAAATTATCCAAATGATTCTAGTGAAGGTGTGTGGAGTTTAAAAACACAGTGGAGCACTTCTCCTATGACCACATGACATCACAAGGTGGAACAGAGTGTTTTCAGTTTGAAAGAAGAATTCAGTCTAAATGTGCAGGTTTGTGTGTTAAACATGTGAATGAAACAAAACACAAGTCCAGGTCTGTTTGTGATGAGGAAACAACATTAGAACAGAGATCAGAAACTAGAGTAACATGGTCTTTTCTTCATTCACAGACGTATGTAGACTAGTCCAAAATTTGACTCAAGGAAAAGTACAAATTTGTGGTCTAAGAAATTATTCAAGTAAAAGTAAAAATGTACTAAGGAATGTGTATGAAACTGCTTCTCAAATAAGAGTACCTGAGTCAGAACATGACATCTAATTTACAATTTAAAGTTATAATTATAATTATAATAGAGTTATAATTTAATGTCATTAACAAAATTCCCAGCATACCCCCCCTTTAATGTAATAAGTACAACAAAACATTAAATAAGTCACAAAATCTAGTATTTCTAAAGGACAAACACAAACATGAGACAAACTAAATCATATCTAAAGGAGCTGCAAGAAACACAAATGTTCAAATCAATTTAGATTTTCAACGGAAAGATTTTGTCACTTGTAGATTTATGGAGAAGAGTCAGGAGGAAGAGTCAAAGACTCAGGAGGAGGGGCCAGAGAGTCAGGAGGAGGAGCCAAAGACTCAGGAGGAAGAGCCAAAGAAGACTCAGGAGGAGGAGCCAGAGGAGAGTCAGGAGGAGGAGCCAAAGAAGACTCAGGAGGAGGAGCCAGAGGAGAGTCAGGAGGAGGGGTTAGGGAAGAGTTAGGGGGTGGGGCCAGAGAAGAGTCAGGGGGTGGGACCAGAGGAGATCATAGAGTCAGGGGGAGGAGCTAGAGAAAAATGACGGGTCAGTGGAGGGGGAGAAAAGTGTGAGGGGTCAAAGGTCACGGTGAGGCTGGGTATGTAGGGGTCATTATAAATGACGATACCTGCAGTGGACAGGGAGCACTGTCCACCCGCAGCGAGTAGACAGGCCCCCAGTGCAATGAGTGAAAGGCATCCCGCGAGGGCCTCAGCACATACACGTTTGAGGGGCCCCAGTCCCTGTGAGGAGAGACGGTGTCAGCACATCTCCACACGGGGGACACCAGAGACACTGTCCACACACACACTGTCCACACACACACTGTCCACACACACTGTCCACATCACACTGTCCACATCACACTGTCCACACACACTGTCCACATCACACTGTCCACACACCCTGTCCACATCACACTGTCCACACACACTGTCCACACACACTGTCCACACACCCTGTCCACATCACACTGTCCACACACACTGTCCACACACACTGTCCACATCACACTGTCCACACACCCTGTCCACATCACACTGTCCACACACCCTGTCACACACACTGTCCACACACACTGTCCACATCACACTGTCCACACACACTGTCCACATCACACTGTCCACACACACTGTCCACACACACTGTCCACACACACTGTCCACATCACACTGTCCACACACACACTGTCCACATCACACTGTCCACATCACACTGTCCACACACACACACTGTTCACACACACTGTCCACATCACACTGTCCACACACACTGTCCACATCACACTGTCCACACACACACTGTCCACATCACACTGTCCACACACACACACTCTTCACACACACTGTCCACATCACACTGTCCACATCACATTGTCCACATCACACTGTCCATGCACACTCTCCACACACACACACTGTCCACGCACACTGTTCACACACACTGTCCACATCACACTGTCCACACACACACTGTCCACATCACACTGTCCACACACACACTGTTCACATCACACTGTCCACACACACTGTCCACATCACACTGTCCACACACACTGTCCACATCACACTGTCCACACACACACTCTCCACACACACTGTCCACATCACACTGTCACATCACACTGTCCACATCACACTGTCACATCACACTGTCCACGCACGCTGTCCACACACACACACGCACACACACACACACACACTGTCCACGCACACTGTTCACGCACACTGTCCACACACACTGTTCACATCACACTGTCCACCTCACACTGTCCACACACACACTGTCCACACACACACACACACACACACACACTGTCCAAGCACACTGTTCACACACACTCTCCACACACACTGTTCACATCACACTGTCCACATCACACTGTCCACACACACACTGTCGACATCACACTGTCCACACACTGTCCACACACACACTGTCCACACACACACTGTCCACACACACTGTCCATGTTGGGTTTCCATGGGGACATTCCATTCACTTCCTGGAGACATTCTAACATTAACCAGTCTCTGCCTGTTTAATGTTAACCTAAACCCAACTATAACCA